GCCGGCGCCCCTGCCCGCGGGTCGGACGTTGGGCCGCACATTGAGGCGGGCCCGGCGGAACATGGCGCCGGCGGCTCGCTTCGAACGCTCGGCAGAGAGAGGCAGGGACGGACGGACGGACGCGGCCGCCCGCGAGCTCGGCGTCAGCGGCGCGCGGCCCGGTAACGCCGCGACGCTCCGACGCCTCACGGCATGTCACTCGCCTCCGCGCCCGGCGCGCCCCGCAGCGTCATCAGCGCGCGGCGGCAGGAAGAGGAGGGGCGGGGGGGGGGCACGGCTCGCCCCGCGCGGAGCAGGGGGAAGGACGGGGCGGGGGGGCGGCGCCTGCGCGGGAAAACCATGAGGGAGGCCGAGCACGGCGCCGGAGCCGCTTTCAGTACCTCAGCGGCTCAAAGCCCCTTTTCCCCCTTAATTCAGGCGTCTCGTAGACGGCTTCCCAGGCGTTAGTTTTGCCCACGGTGATCAGTGCTTTGGGTTGTTTGTTTTTTTGGTTTGGTTTGGTTTTTTTTTAACTCTCTTCGGTGGTTTTAACGGACAGCGGTCTGCAGCGATTTCCTTTTCCGCTCGGTTGTTGACCAAAAGCCACGTGCTCTTACACAAGGGTGTTTCGGAAGCTTATCACCTCCCTTCCGGCGTACAAGTCCGGCCTCCTGCGAAACCTCCCGCCCCCGGCCACACCGCCGCCTTGCCTGCCTCCGAGGCCGAGCCAGCCAGCCTCGCGCACCGCGGCCTTTCCGCCTCTCGTCACTTGCCGGAACCTCGATTCTCCGCACACTGGCCGCCGGGAACGGCGCGGCACCCCTCCCGCATTCACGCCGCAACACCCGCCGTCGGGGGGACCAACCCGCCCCCGCGGGCGGGCGCGGGAAGCGGAAGTGACGCCCCCGCCCCCCACGGCCCCCCGCACCTGGCGCCGGCCACGCCCTCCCAGCTGCGCGTAGGCAGCGCGCGCCCCGCTGATTGGGTCAGGCCTTTGGGGGGGGCGTAGCGCCCCCCCGCGCGCAGCAATGACGTCATGGGCCAGCGAGGGTTTATAAGGGGCGTCAGCGGTGGGCGGGGCGATAGAAGGTTCTGGCAGCCGAAGCGGCGGTTCGTGTGTGTGTGTGTCTGTCTGTCTGTCGGTCGGTCGGCCGGCCGGCCGGCGGTGGCGCGCGGCCCGAGCGTCTCGTGATGACCCGTGAGTGCCGGCAAGGCTCAAGAGGGGTGCTGGGCCGGGGGGGGCACGTCGGGCAGCGGGGGGGAACGGCGGCGGGCCTTCCTTCGGCCGGCTCCAGGCCTGCGGAGAAGCGCGGCCGGGGCGCGAGGCGGAGGGCAGCCCGGCGGTCGGTCACGGGGCGGGGGGTCGGCCGCGGTGGGGTGCCGTTGTCGGGTCTCGGTACTTGTGGATTTGGCGTCCACAAGTGCGTGAGCCGCCGGGGCTGAGGCTTCCCACGTCCTGCCGCCGTCGTTCCTAGGCTTAGAGGAAAAACATCCTCACTCCCTCCCCTGGCGTAGCTGTGTTGGGGGGCGGGGAGGAGGGGGAAAGGTGGCGATCTGCTGGAGCCACAGTAACGCTCAGTTTCGGTCCTGGCTACCGTCCAGTCTGTAAATAAAGGGCTGTTATATTGCTGCCAAGCACTTAATACTACGTTGCTTAAATGGCGGTTGTGAAGACTGTCGTTGAAAGGGCGGCAGAACTTGCTAATCATCGCCTAACTCAAAAGTAACGTTGGTATAGCTGCTCTGAAATGGCGGAGAGCTGTGAACCAAACCTAGAATGCTCTGGCCCTCCTAACTGGTGCGGTTGGTGTTTTGGCTTCTGTGTATTACACTTGGAAATACAGATAGTGCCTGTGTTTAACTGAGGAGGTGCTTTTACATTCACATTTAAAACCACGTAGCTTCAAAGCCACTGTACTGCTGGAAGTCCAGATAAAGGCCTGGATCATAAGCAGTTTGTGCACTGATCAGACCTTGAATGTGAGGAAGAGGCAGGTTTATGGCTTTTGTTGATTCCCCCACCCCACCCCCCTGTTCTGTATGATGCTAAAATAAACATAGCTTGAGGTTAAAAAGAGGCAGAGTGTCTCACACCTGGGCATAGCAGAATGATAACATTTCATTTTAGGATGACCTAGTTTAATGCGCTGTCTGAAATACTAGAGGTGTGGTTGTGATGTGCTACCATACAGTCTACTCTTAACTTTAGTAGATGTTTCCAGAGTTCAGTGCTTTGTTGTCAATCAGGCCTGGACTACGCCCTGTGATTTCAAATGGACATATAATAAAATAGAATAAGAATGGCTTGTTTATTTACAACTCCTTAACTGTGCCTCCCAGTTCATAAATTCATGGTACTTGTTGCACTGCCAAATTTCAGGGTACCTGAAAACAGTAAACTTGTGAAGATGGTGATGGCCAGATGAATTGGAGGGGGTTTTTGTCACTTGTATTCCATTATTGCTTTGTCCTTGCATCAAAAGGCTCTGTTTACTTTTGCTTTCTATTTTTGGGACGTGATGGCAGGCACTTTTCTTCTGCTTCAAGTTCTGACATATGATCAGATCCTTTGCTGCTCAGAAAGAACTCTAGGGATGATGATCTCAGTAGCCAATCCTTACTGCCATTCTCTTTGACCTCCTTATCGTAGATTACTCCTTGTTCCAGTGCTATTCAGATGTCTTTTGCTTATCTTTGTTTTCAAGAATACCTGCATCTTGGAGTTGGAAGAGCAGGGACAGGTTGAACTAAGGCATATGTCTTGCAGAGGCAGGCCAGGATGGGGGTGCTCAAGCATACGTATAAGCAGCAAGGATGTACTGGCCTTTATGTGGCAGTTCATGCTTGAATTTCACATTACAGGAAGCTGAATGGTCTTCTGTCAGGACTGGACCACACTTCATGGAAGATTTAGGTTGATCTTACAGAATGTAGGAAACAGCACCGTCTCCCTTGGAGCTAGGGATACTCATGTGGTATCCCAGGTGAAGTACGGGGCCTGAACAGTCCATGGCAATGTTTACTTGGAAGCAGGGATGGTACAAGTAAGTTTCTTTTCAAATAGTTGTTTGGCCCTGTATGCCTTGTGTGCATACTGTATTGCTCTACATTTATACCTGCTCTGCTTTGCTGAGCAGAAGTGGCAGCCAAGCTTTTCAGTGACGCTGTTCAGTTTGGTTCTTAAGTTTACTATCTTACCATGCGTGTGGAACAACTCTACATGTAGACACCCTGCACAATGTTTGCTTGGAAAGGAAGTGCTTAAGGTTAAGGGTGGAGGATAACTGCTATATGAATTCTGACGATAGCAGTGTCTTTTGACTGCCTGCCTCTTTTTCTTTGAGGTAAAAGAAGATGCTTCATTTCTTTAAGCACCACAGAGAAAAAGAGCTGTTTCATTGCTGCTAACTTGTTCATATGACATTCATGCCTCCTGAGCACAACAAAACTCAAGAACCATTTATAGCCTGGAATGTATCATCTGCTCATGAGTCATCCAGTTCTAATCAACAACAGTACTGCCAGAGATAGATAGCTGTTTTACTTCAATTTTCTGAACAAATAGTGGCCCTTCTTCTACATGGACTTTGGGGACAGGATCTCACTGAGTGCTAGTGAGGAGGATGGAGCAGGAGTTCTCTTAGCTTTTTCAAAAGGTAGTACTTGATGTCCTCTCACAGATGAAGTATATCTTTCAAGGCAGGAGCAGCCCTCAGGAAGCAGCAGTCATAATACACTGTTTTCATTTGGGCTTCTGGCACCTCTTGCGAGACTGTACAGGTACTGGTGTGAAGAATGCATAAAACCCCTGCTTCTGCAGGGTTGCTCTTGTCTACTTGTTGACATGGCAGGTACCTTTAACAAGTCAGAAATGGGGTGAGTACAATGCTGTGGATCGTATCAACAGATTGCTGTTTCAAATTGACTTAGTCCTAAACTGCTTCCCTATACCTGAAATTACAGGCACCTGGAGAGATCTCTGTCTTCAAGATTGGAAGACAGCATAGGTGTAGTCTTCAGACTGGAGAGAGACTGAAAAGAGGCACAATGGAAATTATGGGGAGATGGAGCTTTCATTTTTGAGTGTAGAAAAACGTGATCATGTTTGTTTGACAGCACAAGTGATTATGCCTAGTGTATCTGGAACACGTTGAGTCCAAAAGAAGCAGAGCAAGAGGAGGTACCAAGCAAGTGAACCAGCTCTGGCAGGTTAGAGCAGACTAGAACTGCCATAAGGAGGGGGATAGTAAGAAAAGATTGTCAGCTAATGCAGAAGAGTTTATAATTGTGATGGCTGTGGCCATTGCCTGGAAGACCCTGAGTATTTACTGGGAGAGTTGCATCTGCTCTGAGCAGCAGTTGTGTTGTGCTGGTTCTGATGTCATGCCCTTGGGAATGTTGTCTCATCAAAAAGATTGCATGCCTAACTTGCCAGGAGTTTAGGGTGTTGGTAGTCCTGGGGAAAGCTGGCTGTCCCCTGGAGAGCTGTCTTCTCTACTGGCAACAGTGATGTGTTTTTGTGTCTGTATATATATATATATGTGTGTGTGTGTAATGTTACTCTTCTCACTTTTGTTGAAAGTGGGGCTAAACACTTGCTAAGGCCATGCTTAATTGCTGGACTTTATTTGAAACAACATATCTTTTGAGGTCACCTCTTTAATAGCATTTGAGTATAATTAACTGAAGGGACTAAAAGCCCATCACAAGCAAAGTAGGTAGAACAACTATAACAGTGCCCTTGCTGCTGAGTTAAGGGAACACCTACATAGAGAAACTCATCAAATGAGTAAGATTGAAAAAATACAGAGGTTGGTTTACAATGAAATCTAAAAAGCACGCATGGGAAAGAAAGCTATGAACAGAAGCCTGTAATAGTGCATGGAAGGAACCTTCCTGAATGCTTGTTTGCCAATTTCTTCAATAGCATGAAAATACTCTCACATGTGAACAGCATTAGGGTTGTCCACCCTGTGCAGGGACATATACACACACCTGTTTTGGGAAAGTTGTAAGTCGTTTTATTCAGAACAAGGTGTCTTGATGAGGAACTGGAGTTCTGATTGTGTCTTAACTTCAGCTTTGTCAGCCCTGCTTCTTTTGCAGGGGGCTTTGTGGTATATGGTGGGTAA